AGAAACCCCAGTCTAATATTGTCAGTGTATGCACAGAGTCACAGAGCACATTATTGGCCTATGCCAAGATAAGTGCTGGCCTTTAGTTTTAGAACTGTGAAATAAAACGGAAAATACTACACACGGCACAAGAATATGGAATAGACATCAAAGCTCCCAGAAGAAAATTATCTCTGATGCATTTGCAGCTATACAATTTCTTTGAGAACTTAACATTTAACAAGAAATAATGATATCTGGGATTTATTTCAAAATAATCCTGGAGGAAGGATAAAGTGGGTAAGACGATAGATGAAACAAGATTGACCACGAATTGATCATCCTTTAAGCCGGGCAATGGGTATATGGAGTTTATTATTCTCATCTTGCTACTTGTAGATATTAGAAATTTTCCATAATAAAAAGATAGAAAAAGAAGGGAGACTTGGCTTAGGGGAAAATAATGGTAGCTGGCTTATTGGATCCTCTTCAGTGCCTGAGTGGCTTGCTGGGTTGGGAGGCAGTGGGAAGTGGTGGACAGACTACTGTGCTAAGTGAGGACACCTGGTGGTATCCTTGCCACCAAGGTGGGGCTGACTTTGAGCGAGTCAGATCAGCCTCTGGTCTTCGGTTTCCTCATCTGCAAAATCAGGGAGTTGAATAAGCTGAATTCCAAGGTGCTTCAGTTCCAGATTCTGTTGTTGGTCCTCAGGGAGACCTGTGACTCCTTCCAATCCCTGGCTGGGCATCTTGATCTCTCTTGTTCTTCAGTTGTGGATGGAACCACACTGGCCTTGTTAAGTGCCTCCCTCTGACATCTCCCTAAGCACTGGAAGAAGCTCTTCAAGTTACCATGGCTGTGCAAGATGGGAGTAGGGCTCCAGACAGTAGCATTAAGAAGATAATGAGAAGAAAGGATGGAAGTCTCCACCTGTCTCTCTTGCCCTTTACTTGAATCTGGGCTTCTAACTTTTCTCTCCTTAGCAGGAAAGACATCTGCAAAGAACTTCCCCTTTCTCTTCCCTTGTCTCTTCTCTTTAACAGTAGGGAGGCTATAACACATTTTCACCAATCCAGAATATTTAAGAAAATTCCTGTTAAATAATATTAATGTTACCTTCTGTTACCCCACATTTGCTAAGATTGAGGATAGCCTATTCTTCTTTGTATTCTCTGTTTCCTTTTCAGTCACACCAGATTTTATGTAAGTTTAGCTCTGAGAGGTTATTTTTGATACTATATCCCTTGTTCCTAAGAACTACCAAACTACATTAAAAACCNAGAGGTTATTTTTGATACTATATCCCTTGTTCCTAAGAACTACCAAACTACATTAAAAACCTGAAAAAGTTATTGAATGCTTCACTGGCCTATTTTCTGCATCAAAATTGCTACATGATAGAATAAAAACAAGCCAGGTAGATGTATTAATAATCTTCTGTGAATTTGACTGCCACATTTACATGGATCATTTATTTTAAATCCATATTGCTAATGTTTTACTTGAATTTCATGTTATGCCGTATTCCATTATAAAGTATTTTGTTATTACCTTATTTGTATATTTATAGGCTTAAATTTCTGCTGATATATATGGAATGTATCAGTAGAGTTTAAAACAAAGGCTCAGGGCCGGCCCGGTGGCGCACTGGATAGTGCGCCTCTTGGGAAGCGCGGCGGCGCTCCC